GGTGGGTGGGTGGGTGGGTGTGTGTGTGTGTGACGAAGGAGCAGGAGGAAGAACCAGTTAGTGGTCATTCATTTCACAGGCCACTTTGTGGCAGTGCTTCTCAAACTATCTTTGGTGAAGGGACCAGATATTTAAATTTTTCAACTTGTGATAGATTGATATTTTTATGCATCTAATTGTATGTATTTTTGCCTTAATTGAGATGCAATTTTTATACCATAAAGCTCATCATTTTACAGGGTGCAATTGAGTGGTTCTGTATTATATTCACAAGGATATTTAACCATTAACTCTCTTAATTCCAGAACATTTCCATCATTCACCCACTCTTCAAAAAATATTTACCTATTAGCAGGCATCCCTGTACCCCTCCTCCAGCACCTGCAGTCATTCATCTACCTCTGAGTCCAGAGACCTTCCTATTCTACCCCTTTTTATAAATAGAATCACGAGACTGTGACCTATTATGTCTGACTTTTTTCACACAGCATAATGTTTCCAACGTCCATTTGTGTTGTAGCTTGAATTAGTACTTCGTTCCTTTTGTGGTGGAATCCTGTTCCATTACGCCACGTGCCCGCTGTTACTCATTAGCCGGTGGGCTTTTGGGTTGTTTCTGCTTTTTGACTATTATGAATAGTGCTGGTGTGGACATTCATAGCCATATACACACGCTTGCACACACACGTGGCCCTGAGCAATGGAACTGCCGTGTCATGGGGTAACTCTATCTTTAACTTTTTGAGGAACTGCCAAACTGTTTGCCACAGTGGTTATACCATTTTTCATTCCCACCAGTAATGTCTCAAGGATTCCTGTTGTTGAGGTCGTTGCCCACACTTGCTATTTTTGTTTGGTTTTCTTATGGCCATTCTGGCAGTCCACCCCATGGAAAGGGCTGCCCCACGATGCTTTCATTTGCCTTACTCTCATGGCCGGTGATGTCATAGGTTGGTGAGCATCTTCTTGTGTTTTTTTTTTTTTTGCCATTTGTGGATCGCCTTGGGAGAAATTACCCATTCAAGTCCTTGGCCCTTTTTTTAAACATACATTTATTTATTTGTTTGCTTGGCTTTTTAAGAGTCTTAGACTTCCAGTCTGAAAGAATTGACCAATGGAATCGTCTGGTCCTGAGCTTTTCACTGTGGGAATTTTTGAGAGCTGTTTGAATCTCTTTATTTGCTCACATATTTCTGATTTCCCTTTCAGTGTTTTTTGTTTTTGTCATGGGAGTCTGTCCGTTTCCTCTCGCGCCTCTGATGTGCTGGCATGCATTTTGTTCATAGCAGCCCTGGGGCGCTCCCTGCTTCTGTGAGGTTGATGGCCCTCCTTTCCTCCTTGAGTCTAGTCATTTGGGTCCTCTCTTCTCTCCCCCACCCCCAAATGTTTATCCATTTTGTTGATTCTCAAAGACTGAGATTTGGTTCGTTGATATACTCTGTTGATTTTTTTTTTTTTTTCATCACTCGTCCTTATTTTTTCTTCCCTCTGTTTCCAGTTTAGTAGGCTGGGTTGATGTTCCTGATACAACATTGTTGAGTGAGAAAATCCACTGACCTCATTCTTGGATGTCATAGCCATTTTAAGTTGCTATGCAGGTTTCTGAGCACTCAGTCCCTAACTCTCCGCTTCTCTGCAAGTCCAGTGGTCTGTGGACCACGTGTTGAGTAGCCCTGCTTTACAGGGCCGGGCGTAGAAAACATACATTAGAGTTAGCTCGTGGAGGTCTGCTGCACGTAAATGGGCACCCGAGGGCACCCGCTAGAACGCAGCGGGTGGGGCTCATTCACCGCAGGCTCTGGAGGCTGCTGGGAGCTAACCAGGCAGAGTGCGTGGAGAAGGCCTTCCAGGCGCAAAGGAGAGGAGGAGCCAGGGCAGAGAGCTGCGTGACGGCACAGCGCATGCGTGACAGCAGGGAAGCCCGTTGGTGCCGCAGGTGCGTGAGCGGAAGTGGCAACCGAGCGGGCCCTGGGGCGCCCTGCCCACGAGTGTTGATCCGGGACCAGTGTCATGCAGGATGCTGGGTCCCTCAGACCCTGCTCTTGGGGTCATGTCGTCTAGTGACAGGCAGAGAGTGCACAAGCACTGATGGACGTCAGGTCACATGTTGTAGTCAGTGCTGTGGACACACACAGGTGCAGTGAGGGGTGGTGGCCTGAGGCAGTGGCCCCTGTGGATTGAAAGCCTGCTCCAGAGATGGCCAACCTGATGGATGGGGGCAGCGGCCAGAGCTAAAGTGTTTTCCAGAAAGAACTGTAAGAATTAGGACTACAGGCGGGAGGCCTCTGTGTGTCCGAGGACTTGAAGTGTGAGCCGAGGCCAGGTCACGCGGGGGTGGGGGTTTCTTTTAGGTCCAGGTCAAGCTTTAGGCTTTTTTGTCAATGCCAAGGGGTGCACTGGTGGGGCTTTCAGCAGACCAGAGGCAGGACGTGACGTACGTTGTTTCAAAGGCCCGGCCCGTGGTGGAGAACGGGCAGTGAGCGTGTTGGAGCGTGTGGGTGAGGATCTGAGACAGTCTCAGGGTCTGGCTTGAGAAACTGGGTAGACACTGATACTCTTTATCAAGGAGAGAAAGGCTGGGGGTGAGAGAAGGGAGCAGCAAGGAGTCAGAACACTGAAGATGCCTCTGAGGCATCAGGTGGCCATGGAACTTGGCACTGGACTTGCAGCATGGAGCCCGTGGAGGCCGGCGGGGCATCGTCAGTCCCAGGTGGTTTTGAAACCACAGGAATGGCGGTGATCATCTGGGAGGGGAGAGGACGCAGGGCAGGCCTGAGTCCATGTCGCTCTGAGATTTAGGGGAAGCCAGGCAGGGTGAGGGGACGTGAGCCGAGATTCCCAAACTGGGGTGGTCAATGAGTTGTTGGGGGTGCTGCTTGGGACACCTATTCCCGGGCGCCAAGCCTGGCCCACAGCCTCCGAGGGAAAGGCCGGGGTGTGTGTGAGCTCGGGATCAGTGCCAGGGCAGACCCCACACAATTGGGGGTCCTGGCTTTCCTAGCTCATGTGCACTGTGCAGAAGAGGGGCTTGGAAGGCGGCCCTGAGTAGGGCTCTGGTGAGGAGGCTGTTCAGGACCCCGAGGTGAGACCCGAAACTGGGCAGTGCTGGGGAAGAGGTGAGGGTTTCCGCAACTGCCTGGCCACAGTGATTGACTTTGTTGGTGCAATGTGGCTGTTTAAGACGAGCAGAGTTCAGAAGCTTCCAGGTCCCTGGTGAGCGGTTAACTGTCCTGCAAGATGGAAATGGTGAAGAGGAGCAAGGGAACAAGCCTTTGGTCTGGGCTGGGAGTGGGAGTTCTTCGAGCTTAGTTGCCCGTGGAAGCCACAGCTGTGACGCTTGAGCCAGGGAGACAGCTTGGGTGGAGAGAGCAGACTCTGGGGTCCGATCACTGGGGGGAGTCACTGCTTTAGGGAAAGTGAGGGGACTGCCAGCCTCAGGGAGGCAGGGGCAGGTTGGACAGAGCAGGAGGAGGCTCAGCCGAACAGATGACCTGGCCATGGCAGGGGGGCAGGGCAGCCGGGGCCAGGTGCAGTGGGGAGCAGGTGCTGGGACCTTGCTCACCTGGGACCTGGGAGTTAGAGTGTGCGGGACTGAGGCGCTCCAGAGCCGGAAAGAGGTGCGTGTGGGCTCATCTCTCAAGAAGTTCTTTTGGTTGGAAAGGCGACACAAAGAATGTTGTGTTGTTGAAAGAGTTTTGGGTTTTGTTGGTTTCCTTTTTAAAATGAAAGAAGTCTTGAGTCATGCTTGAGGGCCAGGAAGGAAGGAGCCAGTAGAAAGTGGCCCTGGGTGCTGGGCAGGCGCAGGGCTGGCCTTGATGCCCCAGTGTCCCCGGGCTGTGACGCCCTCTGGGGTGGCAAGCGCCAGTGTTCCCACTTCCCTCCCAGATATGCTGAGGGCTGCCTCGCCTCGGAGCATTCCCTTGGAGGCAGAGGTGGTGGTTTCTCAGGGGCAGGAGCGCTGCTGTGTTGCATGGGTGCAGCTTGCATGGTGTGCAGCGACTCCTTGAGCCCTGCCGCCCACGGAGAGGGAGCGGGGAGCGGCAGCCGCTCGTCAGTTAGCGAGGGTCCACTGCGCGTGCGCATCAGGAGCCACGGTGCAGAGGGGTCCAGCCGGGCTGGCAGGGACTAGTGTGGGGTTTTGTTTTCCAGCCCGATAAGTCAGCAATTCACAGGCTCTGTGTTACTTAATGCTTTAAGATCTTGAGCTGTAGAAGTTTTAATTCTGGTTTTTTTCTTTGAAGTTTCATTCTCTCATTCTTTATGTGGAGGTTCACTTTCTGATTTTAAGAAGTACTTCCCCTGCTTGTTATAAAGTATGACTTAGTCTATAAAATCTCAGCGATCACAGAGCATCAAAATGGGCAAATCACCCATAATCTCTACATTCCCTCTCTCCCGTGTTTTGTATGTGACATGTTTGTTTTCTCCTTCACGTTGCCCAGATGCTCACTGCCGTCCTCTCACTGGCCGAGGCGCTCAGTCTCGGGGTTGTCCCATCTCTTTGTGTGCCCGTGGCCCCGAGCCACTTGCGGTGGAGACAGAAGAGCAGAGATCACTGTCCGCACCTGGCAGCGAGGTCGGCGGTGCCCACGGGGGGAGACGCAGAAGCGTTGTTCCTGGCATGATTTGCTGGTTTGGTCTGATCTCCCAAAGGAATGGCCTTGCTGCAGCGGACTTTCTAATAAGGAAAAAAGCAACAAGCACTCCCCTTTTGGAAACACATAAAAAGCCAGAAACGCCAGCTGGGGGCCAGGTCTGCTGAGAGGAGCCGCCTGACACAGCCGTCTGCAGTCGCTGCTGATAGGCGCTGGGGGATCTTACTTAGTCTTGAAAGTTAAGTTCCTGTTGTCTTTAAAAAACCATAACTCTTAACTTATTGCGTGTGTTTACTTTTAGGAATTTCATGTTTCTGAAGATTTTAATAAAATGAACTTTATCAAGACCTACCCAGGTAATTATAACATGCTCACACTCTGGCATGCTTATGCATGGAGGTGCACGCATGCACACACAGCCCTGGAGCACCGTCTCTTGGCTGTAGATCAGGTCGCATGTTCACGCTTTGGTCCTGTCACCTAGTTATGTGAGAGCTGTTGGCTCTCCCTCTGTTAACCATCCTTCTCCCCTGGCCATTAACGTTGAGCATCCTGTGTGCTGTCCCGAGAGTGCTTGTACCAGCTTTGACGTAACCTCTTCTGCTGCTGACCGGGCACATCACCTCCTTGGCACTGCCCTGCGTGTGTGCGAGTGTGTGCTCACCTGCGGTCCCTGCTGCCCTGTGTGTGTGTGCCGGAGACGTCTGTGTTGATGTGACTCTCACTCTAGTCTCCCCTCACGGCTTCTTCCGTCTCAGACAAATTCCGAAGAACAGGGCAAGTGCTGGGTTCCGTAATGCCCGAGGAAGTTTGCAAGGTGCTTCCCAGCAATAGTTTAAATGTGCAGTCCCAGGAGCCCTGGGGGGCAGTGTCTGCCCCCCAAGTCTTCACAAGGCTGCCACCTTATCCTTTTTTTTTGGATCCAGTTTGGTAGTCGAAAGAATACTCAACTTTAAGTTGATTTAATACTAACCATTACTGTAGTCTGAGAGCTCGCTGTTTGTCTGTCCATCCTGTTTCCTTGTCTTCCTCCGTCTGACTTGCCTACCCAAGCCCTCCAGTCATCCCATTGTCCTCTATGACAAAATTCCGTGTTTTTTAAACCGCTCTTGAGTGTTAGTCTGCAGTGATTTGTGGCTCCTGCTATCTTCAGGCAGG